CTGAGAGGACCCATGGAGGTCAACCTGGGAGAGAGAAGAGAGAACTGAAGCACCTAAAGTGTCCTGCCTTAAGGGAGCAGGATTGTGTAGAATATATAATAACAGTAGCAGCTGTGTTTACGGAGCATTAACCTTACGTGGAGTTCTTTCCTACGTTACCTCCTTTCATCTTTACAAGGGAGCCATTTGGTGGTGTGAGGTATGGATGTTCCCATCCCTAATTTGCAGAATAGGTAACTGAGGCTCAAGAGAGCTAGTTTGCGCACAGCCGAGAAGTGGTCAAGTTAGAACGGGACCCCAGGTTTGTGCTCCCTACTCTCCACCGATAACCTGTCAAAGGGCTTTGAAAGAGCTTTTGACTAATCGCCTCTCAATGGTTCTTCATTCACTTATTAATTGCACATCAGTATGTGCCAAATCTACTAGACATTGGAGAAACAGTAGGAACAAGACACGGTACCGGCACATGGATCTTTCAGGAAAAGGAAGTAGGTAATAAACAGGAAAAAGCCCGAGTCTGATGCTAAGAAGAACATAAACAGGATGCTGAGGTAAGAGAATAACGGGATGTGGAGACTGCTTCGTATTAGATTATTAAGGAAGGAATCTCAGGAGGTAACATTTAAGCTGAGACCCCTGAGGAATGAGAAAGGGCTGGCTATTGGAAATTCAAGGAAAGATTTCTGAGCAGATGGGTAAAAAATTTAAGGTGGAAATATGTTAAATATGTTCAAGGATCAGCAAGAAGGTCATTGTAGCTGGAGTAGATCGAGTAGGAGGAGACTGATAAAGGATGAGGCTGGAGGCCGGGCGCGGTGGGTCATGCCTGTAATCCCAGCACTTCAGGAGGCCAAGGTGGGCAGATCACTTGAAGTCAGGAGTTCGAGATCAGCCTGGCCAACATGGTGAAACCCCGTCTCTATTTCAAAAAAATTTTTTTAAAAAGTATAAAAAGGATGAGGTTGGAGATGTGGGCAGTGACTTCATCATATGTGGCCTTTGGGGGTCATAATCAGGACTTTGGATTTTATTCTAAGCTATTGTAAGGTTTTAAACTAAAGAGTGGTGTGATCAAATTTGTTTTAAAATATCACTCTGCTTTGTAAAAATGGAATATAGGAAAGCAAGAATGGAAACAGAGCTATTAGGCTATTGGAGAATAATGCAGTTGAGAGATTATTACACTGTCTGAACTAAGGAGGTGGCAGTAAAGGTGTAGAGAAGATGGATTTTTTTTTTTTTTTAAATAGGGTCCCACTGGCTAGAGTGCAGTGGCATGATCACAGCTCACTGCAACCTAGACCTCCTGGGCTCAGGCAATCCTCCCACCTCAGCATCCTGAGTAGCTGGAACTACAGGGACATGCCACCACGCCTGGCTAATTTTTCGTATTTTTTTGTAGAGATGGAGTCTCTCCACATTGTCCAGGCTGCTCTCCAACTCCTGAGTTAAAGTGATCCACTTCCCTTGGCCTCCCAAAGTACTGGGATTACAGGCGTGAGCCACTGGGCCTGGCTGAGAAGATGGATTTAAGACATGTTTCGGAGGTAACATTTTCAGGACTTCCTGAAGGATTAGATGTGGAAGGGGAGGATAAGAAACAGACCAAGGATAACTTTCACATGTATGCTTAAGCAACTGGATGGATAATGATGCCACTGAGTGAGTGAAAAACTTGATGGAAGTGGAAGATTCAGAGTTCATTTCTATCTAGGTTAATTTGAGACATACCAGAGCATAAGTAATTGAGTATTGGAGTGGAGACTTAGTTGTCTACCGAATTATTATTTTCTTTGTTGGACATACACCTACACTGCATTATCAAAGTAAAATAAGTGTGGTTCTGTGCCTATGCTCTGCCCAGCAGAAAGCGAGCAGAAGAGGTGTGCACAGTTTCCAGGCCTGGCCCATACAGACCTCCAACAGGTGCTCCCTTGTGCTCTTACTCCTTCTGCCACCTGGAAGCAGATGGTGACCAGGCTCTGGAGAAGGCAAGGCCTGAAGATGAGAGATTCCTGAGTGGAGGAGAACTGTGCCTTACTGACCTAAATATCCACTCAGTATTGTTATGTGAGAATAAAGAAACTTAGGTTGACCTTTTACTTACTTTGAGTCTTTTGTTCTAGCAGCTTTGCCTATGCTACCTACTATGAATAAGAGCAATCATCCGGCAGTTAACTTCGGGAGAAAATTTTTAAATGACTTGAATTGACATCTGTAATAGGAAATATTCGTGCAAAAGTAATTGTGGTTTTTGCCATTTAAAAGTAATGGCAAAAACTGCAATCATTTTTGCACCAACCTATATAGAAGATGCCCGGGATTCATTCATTTCCTCCAGTAAGAATTTCTCTCTGCTAGGCTCTGTGTCTTGTAATACAGATGCAGAGATGATGTCATATAATAGAGATGCAGTGATGAAGAGACAAGGTCCCTGCCCTCAGGCAGCTTTTAGTCTAGCTGCTCAACTTACTTATTTGCACATGCTTTCCCACTACCTAGAAACTCTTCCCTCCTAACACACACACATACACACAAACACACACAAACACACACACACACGCACACCCTAGTTTCTACTCATTCTTCAACCTTATTCTTCTTTCAGGTGGAGCCTTGCTGTGTCCCCTAGGCTGGAGTGCAAGGGCGCAATCTCGGCTCACTGCAACTTCCGCCTCCTGAGTTCAAGTGATTCTCCTGCCTCAGCCTCCCAAGTAGCTGAGATTACAGGTGCCTGCCACCACACCCGACTAATTTTTGTATTTTTAGTAGAGACAGGGTTTCACCATATTGGCGAGGCTGGTCTCGAACTCCTGACCTTAGGTGATCCGCCCACCTCAGCCTCCCAAAGTGCTGGGATTACAGGCATGAGCCACCACACCTGGTCAATTCTTGATAATGTTTTTTCAGAAAGACATGCCTTGCCCATATCCTCCTTTCCTAATCTAAATCAGATGTTCCTATTATCCTGTAACTAAATAGTCTCAACAAGGGAAAGAATCTTTTTTGTCTTATTGGTCATATGTCCCTAATACCCAATCCATTGTAGGTACTTAATAAATTTATCCATTGAAGGAATCAATGAATGGAGAAGGCAGAACCCTGAAGAAATCGGTTTCTTCCAATGAAATTCCTCTATTGTTTGCTGGTGAGGCTGCCCTGGTTCACAGCCTTCAGTGATGCTCACTTCCTGGTACTTATGATCTTATGTAGTCCTCTCACCCTGCATGTGGGCTGGATCAAGTGGTTTGCTTCCAGTGAACGGATGTCATGTTCAAGATTAGGTTACAGAAACACACTGGCTTCCAATGGGGCCCTCTCTGACTCTTACTCATTTGCTCTTAGGGAAGCTGGCTCACTTGGTTCCTAAAGCTGCTGTAATAAGGTATCACAAATTGGGTGGCTTAAAACAACAGAAGTTGATCCTCACAGCTCCAGATGCTAGAAGTCTGTAATGAATGTGTCAGCAGAGGCCAGGCACTGTGGCTCACTCCTTTACTCCCAGCACTTTGGGAATCCAAAGCAGGCAGATCACTTGATGACAGGAGTTCGAGACCAGCCTGGCCAACATGGTGAAACCCCGTCTCTACTAAAAATACAAAAAAAAAATTTGCCAGTGGTGGTGGTGGGCACCTGTAATCCCAGCTACTCTGGAATCTGAGCCAGGAGAATCACCTGAACCGGGGAGGCAGAGAGGTTGCAGTGAGCTGAAATTGTACCTGTGCACTCCAGTCTGGGCAACAGAGCAAGACTCTATCTCAAAAAAAAAAGTGGGTCAGGCACAGTGGCTCATGGCCAAGGTGGGCAGATCACGAGGACAGGAGATTGAGACCATCTCGGCTAACACGGTGAAACCCCATTTCTACCAAAAATACAAAAAAGTAGCCAGGCGTAGTGGCGGGCACCTGTAGTCCCAGCTACTCGGGAGGCTGAGGCAGGAGAATGGCGTGTTCCCAGGAGGCAGAGCTTGCAGTGAGTCAAGATCACGCCACTGCACTCCAGCCTGGGTGACAGTGTGAGACTGTCTCAAAAAAAAAAAGTCAACAAAGCCATGTTCCCTCTGAAGGCTACAGGGAAGGCTCCTTCCTTCCGGTGGCTTTGGACAGTCCTTGGCATTCTTTGGCTGTATCACTCCAGACTGTGCCTCTGTCTTCACATGGCCTTCCCTGTGTGTCTCTCTGTGTACTCTCTTATTAAAACAGTTGTTGGATTTAGGGTCCAACATCATCCAGCATGATCTCATCTTAATTACATCTGCAAAGACCCTATTTCCAAATAAGGTCACATTCTGAACTTCTGTGCAAACATGAATTTGGGGGCAACATACTATTCAGTCCACTAGAGACATGTCGAGGAACTAACGTCTCTTACCAGCTGCCAGTGAGTACTTAAGGACTACCAACACATACATGAGCTTGGACAGGATACTCACCAAATTGAGCCTTTAGCTGACAGCATCCTCAGCTCACAACATGATCGTGGCCCTGTGAGCGTCTCTATGCCAGGCGCAGCCAGCCAAGCCATACCCAAATTCCCGTCCCACAGAAACAGATTTTTTTTTTTTTTTT